AAGTGACTTATGACTATTTTTCACACTTACAACCATTGCAGAATCCTCATGGTCACATGATCAAAATTCAGATGCTTGGCAACTGGTTCATATTTATGACGGTTGCAATATCCCGGGGTCACGTGATCCCCTTTTGCGACCTTCTGGCAAGCAAAGTCAATGTGAAAAGCCAGATTCACTTAAAAATCGTGTTACTAACTTAACAACTGCAATGATTCATTTAACAACTGTGGCAAGAAAGGTCGTAAAATGGGGCAAACTCACTTAACAAATGTCTCACTTAGCAACATAAATTTTGGGCTCAATTGTGGTCATAAGTCGAGGACTACATGTACTGAAATCCTTTTTCATTGTTGAATGACAAAAATATTTGTAAGTATCATATTCTCAGATATCAAATATATGTAGAAAAATCATATATTCAAAACCCATCTTCACTAGAATGTGAGGTACTGGAGGCAATAAGCCCCCTGTCAAACAGGAGAGCAACAGAGGAAATATCCATGAAACTATATAAAGCTACAGAAAAAAGCAATTAAATGCTCATAATTGCCCGCCAATGAATATGTCAATGAATATGAAATGAAATTGTGTGACCTAAAAATTTGAAAAGATCACTGCATATGCCTACACTGAAGAACATGCAAGACAATGTGCAAATTACTGAATCATTGCCCTAGTTTCTCACACAGCAAAGTATTAATTTTGTTTTCAAAGTATGGAGCCATAGATGGGGAAAGAAATTCCAAGCTAACATAAGATGGATGATGAAGGAAACAAGAAAATAGAAAAAAAGAGGCAGAATTCCTTCCCCCCCCCCAATCAAAAGTTGTGTCTGAATAATGTGATACTTGTAAGGAGTCTTTAGGAACAAGGAGGAGGAGAAGGAGGAGGAGGAGAAAGAACTATAACAAAAGATTTTGGAGAAACAGAATATAGTGGTACCTTGGTACTCATCCTTAATTAGTTGTGGGAGGTGCGATTAATATCAGAAATGATGAGTACCAAACAAATTTTCCCATGTTATTATTTTCTACTGTACTAAAAAGAGTCGGATGTTGGTACCTTTACACCACTTTTTTTCTTTTCTCTTTGAATTTAATATTTTGATAAACCAATAAAAAAGTTTTTAAAAAGTTTTTCCCCCTCCACAAGGAATAATGTAGTGAGTCACAAGGCAGCCGTCACTGACAGGTTCTAGCTTGTGCGTTGGGTACCAAACAAACAATAAGTACCAGGACAAAACTTTTACGTAAAAAATGCATTGAGTACCAAATTCAATGAATTTCAAAGCAGTTGAGTACCAAGGTACCACTGTAATTCGGAATATAATACAGATATATATTCCCATAACATACAGCAAATGGAAATGATGACAGCTGAAATTAAAATCTGAAGGTGAAAAAAACTATTTGAAATACACAGATGGTATCAATTTCTTAGCTGGAGGTAACGAGAATCTAGATGAGCTCTTAATGAATGTAAAATGGAAATTAATATTTGAGGTTGTAGTTAAATATTAAAAAGACCGAGGTCGTGTCAAGCAGCAGGCTTAACAAATGAAGAAGTGAAATTGGTAGATGATTTTATTTTCGTGGGGCCAAGAATAGAAAAAGGTGGAAAGTAGGCTGAAGTAGAAAAATAGAGTTTAAACTTAGAAATATAAGCAATAACAAGATTAGGCAAAATCGTTAAAGAGAAGGATTGCTAGAATCGTGGATGTTTTATTACTAGATATTTTCAAGTAAAAGTTGGACAGCCATTTGTCTGGGATGATAGAAGGTTTCCTTCCCTGAGTTAGAAGAGTCCTTCCAACTCTTTGATTCTATGACATTTAATGAAAAGAAAAAGTGAATAGAGAAAGCCATACAGATAGTCCTCGACTTACAACCACAATTAAGCCCAAATTTCCATTCCTAAGTGAGACAGTTGTTAAGTGAATTTTGCCTCATTTTATAACCTTCCCTGCCACAGTCGTTAAGTGAATCACTGCAGTTAGTAACACAGTTGTTGTGAATGTGGCTTCCCCATTGACTTTGCTTGTCAGAAGGTTGCAAAAAGTGATCAGTGGTGCGATTCAGCCGATTCGCACCACTTCGGCAGAACCGGGAGCTAATTTTTTGTTGCCCAGGCCCAGAATGGACTTCCGGAAGCGGCATCCACACAGAGAACCGGTTGTTCACGTATTTGAATCCCACCACTGCCCACCATCATAAATATGAGTCAGCTGCCACGCATCTGAATTTTGATCACCTGACCACGGGGACGCTGCAACAGTCATCAGTGTGAACAATGGTCATAATGGTCCCTTTTTCAGTGCCATTGTAACTTTGAACGATCACTAAATGAATGGTTTTAAGTTGAGAACTACCTATAGTCCTTCCCTATGGTTCTGGAGAAGACTCCTGCGAGTTCCTGGACTGCAAGGCAATCAAACTGGTCAGTCCTAGAGGAGATCAACCCTGACTGCTCTTTAGAAGGCCAGATCCTGAATTTGAAACTCAAATACTTTGGCCACCTAATGAGAAGGAAGGACTCACTGGAGAAGACCCTAATGCTGGGAAAGACTGAGGGCAAGAGAAGAAGGGGATGACAGAGAATGAGGTGGCTGGATGGAGTCACTCAAGCAGTAGGCGTGAGCTTAAATGGACTCCAGAAGATGGTAGAGGACAGGAAGGCCTGGAGGAACATTGTCCATGGGGTCGCGGTGGGTTGGACACGACTTCGCAACTAACAATAACATCGTCCTTCCAGTAATTATGTATGACGATGAGAGCTGGACATTTAAAAAGAACAAAAGAACCGTGATATATGCCTTCCGATAGTGAAGAACAGAGGGATTGCACGGAGAACCCCACCAATCAATCCTGAATTAAAACAAAGACTGATTGTTAAGATAGTGCTCAGCAAGTAAAATACTTGGGTCATCTGATGAGGCCAATGATGGAATGGAATACAAATTTGGGGGAAATGATGAGGTGGATAGATGGGATCAAAGAAAAATGTGCTAATTGGGAAGATTTGTTTCCTGGGGCTTCTGAATTCAGACACTCATGAATGGATGCTGTCCTAGTTTAAACAACCATTTTTACCAATTCAGTGGCCTCTAGATGCATTGGGAGAACAACTTCTATAATCCCCCTGACAACAGGGCAACTGGCTCTAGTCCATCCGGATGTGGAAGGCCGTGGTTAAGACAATTCTCCATTCAAAGAGGGAATACGCTTGTGGAAACTGGAATTGCAAAATGTGCTAGCAGGGCCTTAGTCACCCATCATTAGTCAAAGGGAATAAACACTTCAGCAATTCTTCACAACAAGTTCTTCGCCTATCATTGCAAAAAGGTGCCAAGCCTGAAGTCATGAGCCTTGATTACAAGCAGCCTGGGTATATGTGGAATGGAAGGGAGGGGGAGAAAGAGAGGAGAGGCAGATGCGGTGCATCAGTTTGGGGTTTGTGAATAAATGAGGAGAGTGAATATGTCTAAGCAGGAAAATTAGCATTACTTTCAAGACAGGAGTGCAACAACACCCTTCTCCCCTGGTCTTGCTAGCTGGAACTGCTGAAAAGTGTAATTTAGTAAGCCCTGCAGTGATTCCATTACACTAAGGAGAAGAGCCCCAGATTCACTGATGGCTACTAAAACCTTATCTTCAAATTGCCCGCATTACCTTGCCTGTGCCATGCCTTATGATTCTATGCAAGATGCACATGTTATGCTTCCATGTAAAAACACTATTAGGAATTTTGTGTGACATCAGTGCCCACAAACTCTTCCCCATGCACGTTTCTCTTCAGCTGCAAGATTCTCCCCTGAGTGGCAGCAACATCTTCATAAATTGCCAGGTGGCATAATAGTTATGAGGAAGGCACCACTCAGGAGTAGCAGCTGTTTGGCTGGCTAAGGGGAGTCCACTGGTGATGGAGTAGATGGTGAATGGCTATAGAAATGCAAAGTCTTTCCAATTCTCTCTCTCTCTCTCTCTCTCTCTCTCTCTCTCTCTCTCTCTCTCTCTCTCTCTCTCTCTCTCTCTCTGTGTGTGTGTGTGTGTGTGTGAGACAGAAAGAATGTGCATGGAAAATTGGGTTAGGTTTTCTGGGGAGGTGAGCTGGACAGGGATCTCACCTGTTGGCCTCATCCATCCCAACTCCAAGCCCATCTCCTGGAACACAAGTACAAAGTATAAAGTCTTCCCAGTTACATGTCTGTGTGTGCATTATGTGTATGTGAGACAGAAAGAATATGTGTGGAAAGTTGAGTTGGGAGGTGAACCGGACAGTGATCTCCCCTGTCTATGCTGAACTCATCCATCCCACCCCCAAGCACATCTCCTGGAACAAGAGTACAAGTGCAAAGTCTTTTCAATTACATGTATGTGTGTGTGTGTATGTGAGACAAAAAATAAATGTTTGTGGAAAGTTGGGTTGGGTTTTCTGGGGAGGTGAGAAGGGCAGCAATCCCACCTATCTTCTCCAGGACTGGTCTCATCCATCCTACCTCCAGGCACATTTCCTGCAACACAGGGACAAGCTCCTTGCAGCAGCAAAAATCTATGTATGAAGGAGCAGTAACGGGACGTGGAGTTGAAGGAGACCAGCAAAAGACACTAAAGAGGTCTACAAAGTTGACTATTCCAAACAGAGTTGGAGAACATATTTAGAAGAATTTAGCAAAGAGAAGAAGAGCAAATACTTCCAACACTGGAAGTTTTTAAGAAGAGACTGGACAACCATTTGTCTGGGGTTGGACTAGAAGACCTCCCCCTTCCAATACTATTATTATTATTATTATTATTATTATTATTATTATTATTATTATTATTATTATTATCATCATCATCATCATCATCATCATCATCATCATCATCATCATCATCATCATCATCATTATTATTATTATTATTATTATTATTATTATTATTATTATTATTATTATTATTATTATTATTATTATTATTATTATTATTATTATATAGGAAGGGAATTCAAATCACTCTTACCACCAGGTAGCTCTGCAGGCCCGCATGTGTCTCTCTCTTCTCCCACATCGTAGACCCAGAGTTTCTTATAGCAGAATTTCCACAAGCCGAAGTGGGCAGCCTCGCAGATGGCGGAATGGTTCTGCTTGTAGGTGTTGAGTTCCACCCAGAATTCTGTGCCCACCGCCAGCACCGTCAGGGTCATCCCCACAATGGCCACAAAGAATGCCAGCTTGATCTTGCCTTCCTGCTCGTCAGCCAGAACTTTCTGCCGTGGGGTCTCTCCCCTCCTGCGCATGGCTATGCGCTGCTCCCGGTCCTGAAGGAAAAAGTTGGGCCACATCATAGCCCCTTTTCCTGATCCCTGCTTGTTTAGGGAATCTATTTTGTCCAGAAAAAAAAGCTAGCTTGTCTGCTGCCCGTAAACACCCAAGCTCTGAGCCAGGTTTTGTGCTTGGGTTTGTTGACCAGCTTTTTCTGAGTTTTATCTAGGTCAACACACTGCAAGCAGTGCTCAAAAGTTGTCGAGTGATCTCCACGCACCCCTGTGTTTTCGAGGCAGTGCCCCCAACTTGGCAAGGAGCACAGCAGCTACCTCAGCCACCCTGGTGCCTTGGCAAGCCTACAGAGCACCTGTTAGTGTTCCTCAGCCATCATCCAGGCAGCGAGGGTTATTTTAAGCAGTGAGGTTCATAGACAGTCTGGATGTGTTTCTGTGCAGGGGTATGGTGCTCTTAAAAAAGCAGACGCTTAAATTGGACCCTTTCAGGAACGGGGGAGGACCTCTTGCGCCAGCTGCCCATTCCCACAGCACCCCCTGTCGGGCACGGAAGAGCTCAAGGCACTCTTCCTCTGCCCCACCACTCTGTGGAACTTGGTTTGCTTCCAGCAGGCTTGGAAATCTTCTCAATGTGCCGATTGTTTATCATGGGCAAATATATCAAATCCTTTTGCTCTCCTCTTCATGCATGCGCTTGATGGGGTTGACTGAGGCAATGAATTGTCCTGTTCTGGTTTATTATTTTGAAGTCCTACAAAAAAGTTAGATATCCCCTGGAGAAAGCACTGATTTATTTTCAAAGCAGGGTGCTTGCATATCCTTATGTGGCACTCAGTTGTGAATGTGGCCTTTACAATGCCGTTACTTTAAAACAGGCACATTTTGGGGAGTTCTTGGTGCTGTCTGAACTTGGTTGTTTGCTTGCAGACGTTTCATTACCCAGCTAGGTAACAATATCAGTGGTAGTGAGTGTATGGGTTGCTCCCTTTTTATATACAGTAACTCGCCAGCGTTGGTGGCGGGTTTGTTTTCTCTTTGGTAGTTCCTTGATTAGGGTATTATATTCTTAGAGTACAGGGAGTCTTCAGCTTACAACCATTTGTCTAGTTACCATTCAAAGTACTGAAAAAAGTGACTCCTTGCACTTGCAACAATTACAGCATCCCCATGGCCACAAGATGTGGATGCTTGGCAACAAGCATGTATTATATGACTGCAAGGGGCCTAGAGTCACCTTGGCAAGGCAGGTGACATAGAAGTCAATAAATAAATAAACAAACACCCCTGTGTCATGTAATCACCATTAGTGACCTTTTGAGTTGGCTTCCGACAAGCAAAGCCAGTGGGGCAGAAGTCAGATGCGCTTCACGACTGCATGTTTCACTTAAGAACTGCAGTGATTTGCTTAACAACTGTGGCAAAAAAGGAGGTAAAACTGAATGCAATTCACTTAACAACTGCCTTGCTTAGTAACAGAAATTCTGGTCCCAATTTTGAGGACTGCTTGTATTAGGATAGCGAGTCCTTGGGGTATTTTCTCTGTTCCTGTTCCTTCCTGTTCCTGTGGAGATAATTACTGAGTGGTAATAGTGGCCCAGAAAAGTACAGGTAGTCCTCGACTTACAACAGTTAGCTTTGTGACTGTTCAAAGTTATAAAGCCACTGGGGGAAAAATGACTTACGACCGTTTTCCACACTTACGACCTTTGCAGCATCTCATTGGTCACGTGATCAAAATTCAGACACTTGGCAACCGGTTCATATTTATGATGGTTGCAGCATCCCAGGGTCATGTGATCACCCTTAGCGACATTCTGATAAGCGAATTCAACGGGGAAGCCAGATTCACTTAACATCCATGTCACTAACTTAACAACTGCGATGATTCACTTAACAACTGTGGCAAGAAAGGTCGTAAAATGGGGCAAAACTCACTTAACAAATGTCTCATCTAGCAATAGAAATTTTGGGCTCAGTTGTAGCTGTAAGTCGAGGACTCCAGTGTAGGTGAACATGTTTCTCCAATCTTGATATTCAGTATGATCCTTCATCTCTTGACTCCATGACCCTCAATTCTCCAGATGTGCCCCAGATGTCTCTGTCCGCCCTGATTAAACAATGGGTCCACTGGGATCCTGGAAGGATGCCTCCTCTGTCGCCACATCTGGGTATCACTCTTCCCTATCCGAAGATGTTTTGAAAATCCCTAAAAGTCTGGCTGTTCTCTTGAGGCCTTGGTTTTATTTTCCTTGTTATCTATGGTTTTCTATTTTCTCCACTTTATCTGTTTCTTTGCAGGTAGTCTTATGACCACAGCTGAGCCCAACATTTCCATAACTAAGCAAGACAATTTTAATTTTACCCCATTTTACGATCTTTCTTGCCACAGTTGTTAAGTGAATCACTGCGGTTAAGTTAATAACATGGCTATTAAGTGAATCTGTCTTCCCCATTCACTTTGCCTGTCAGAGGTTCACAAAAGGTGCTCACATGACACTGCAACTGTCATAAATATGAACCCGTTGCCAGGCTTCCGAATTTTGATCACGTGACCCTGGGGATGCTGCGACGATCACATGAAAAACGGGCCTAAGTCACTTTTTTCAGTGCTTCAAACGGTCACTAAATGAATGGATCTTAATGAATGAATGGTTGTAAGTCAAGGGCTACCTGTAATTATATATAGAATTATAACTGTTTACTGTTATAATAAGATATTGTACTTTATATTTCTTTTTTTTTCTGTTGTAGTCTTCTTCGATTAAGTATTTTTGGATAGAAACAGAAAATGGACAACAGAAAATGAGGTAGAGGTACCTTTCAGGTTTTTGTGTTTTGTGTTCTTTTTAATTTATGTATTTAATATTTTTAATTATTATTTTTTATGTTGGATGATGGACATCTGTTTATCCCAAGAATGTTTTAGGTTCAGTTACTGACCCACTATCTCCACTGCAAGTTGGTTCCAGTCTTCCACTACTCTTTCTATGAAGTAATACTTTTGAATATTACTTTTTAACGTCCCTCCTGTCAGTGTGAGGTTATGCCCTTCTGTTCTTGATTTTTGCTTAATGTTGAAAATGAATTTCAATAATGTAAAGGATAATGTATGTATCTTTGTGCTTTGTTCCCTTCGTTTTATTTCTTTTTCTGTCATTATTTTAAAAGCAATAACATTTATAAAAAAGCAAAAGGAGAATATATATTATTTCTGCCCCTCAATCATCTTATGAAAAATAAGAAAAGAGAACATTTTCTTCCTCCTCTGCCAAATATCATTAGGGTGCTAATCACACACACAATCTATCCTCTTTTTTTTTAAAAAAAGCAGATGTAGTCACTTTTAGGATCCCTTCATTTGGCAGGACCTATAGAAAACCGTCTGGTTTGATTTCTTTTTCCTGCTGCTTATATAAATAATGTGCACCTTTTTCTGGCAGTACCTCGGCAGTAAAACTCTTAAATTTTAAAAATGTGTTGTATTTGGCAATCCACGGAAGGCACACAGTGCTCTAAAATCTAGACATAAATTAATGGGAAATCGGTGGGGGGGGGGGAAGTAGGCAAAAACTAAGGTTTTTGATGGAAAAAAAGCTTCAGGAGACTGGCTTGTAGTATGACTCGAATCATCAAAAAGCTGATTCATCCCTCCTCTAAATAGTCCCATAAGTTCAACATCCAGAGACACGTGTGAATGTGGAGAGACACAGAGCTCGACCCGTCTGCTGGTATGTTGGCTACTACCAGAAATATGACTTATTTTGGGGCAACAAGAAGCCAGGAAGGTGGCTTCATTCTGGCAGTTTAAAGTTTGATCTAGACACAGAAGAAGAAGAAAAACATCCAGAGACTGTACATCAGCCGGACAGAAGGTCGTCAGGATTTGCTGAGTGCAAAAAAACACTGTCCTGGACGAAATTCAGAGGCTCCATGAACACTTCACCGTAAAATGGGTTCTGAGGGAACATCTGAGGCAGGAGTAGTCAACCTTGGCTCTTTCATGACTCGTGGACTTCAACTCCCAGAATTCCTGAGCCAGCATAGCATAGCTGGCTCAGGAATTCTGGGAACTGAAGTCCACAAATCATAAAAGAGCCAAGGTTGCCTACCCCTGGTTTGAGGCATCAGGAGCAGACATGGGAAGATGATCAAAGGGAGGAAGCGCCCTGAAAAGACAAGACCCTGCATTGGATGTACCATCAACAGATAGCTGGGTAGGCAAACATTGGGAAATCCTGCCAGGGGCTTGAAAGAGCTAGATTAAAACACTGCACTGAGGCACTGATCATAGCCGCACAAGAACAGGCACTAAGCATCAGATCCATCGATGCAGGAGTCTACCACACTAGACAGGACCCAGGTGCAATCTATGCAGAGAGGTCTCAGAAAGAGCACAACATACAGGTAGTCCTCGACTTACAACAGTTCATTTAGTGACTGTTCAAAGTTACAATGGCCCTAAAAATGTGACTTATGACCATTTTTCAGTTACAACCTTCGCAGCATCCCCATGATCAAAATTCAGATGTTTGGAAACTGGTTCTTATTTATGACCGTTATTGTGTCCCAAGGTCATGTGATCACCTTCTGCAACCTTCTGACAAGCAAAATCAATGGGGAAGCCAGTTTCATTTAACAGCTGTGTTATTAAATTAACAACTGTGGGGATCCCCTTAACAACTGTGGCAAGAAAGGTCATAAAATGGGGCAAAACTCACTCAACAAATGTCTCACTTAGCAACAGAAATTTTGGGCTCAATGGTGGTCATAAGTTGAGGACTACCTGTATTAGTGGCAGGATATAAGATGCAGGCAGCAACAATGTAGGCTGAATGGCACAACTAAGCTGCTATGATTAATTGTCAGAATCATTTCATTCATTGCTTTGTATTTCCTCACTTGCCCATTGACTTAGTTAAACATGTCATAAGAACAGGGCGGCGAGTTGGAGTTTTAGAAAAAGCTAAATTGAGGCCAACATCAAATGAATATATATTATTCTTTTGGAAACACTATGATACAATATGTGAACAGGGCAATTGTACTTTGTCAAGCCAGAAATAGGAATGCAGGAATGAGTGAATTTTAGTTGTGTCTCAAATAGGACTGCACATATATTATAGATGTGCATCCAGCAGGTGCCAGGGAATGAGTGATTTTGGGCATTGGCAGTGGATCACCGGCCCAACAAATTTATATTTTTGAAATATTGGCTGAATCAAAAGCTACCCAAATGGGAAATGCCACACACAGTTGGGTTGCAAT